TTCTTGCCTGCTGATAGGCAGTCTGGTGAAAGCTCTATCTGATGGTTAACCTGACTTTGTGCCAGACTGTCCAGTAACCTTTTCTTTGAGTTTTAAATTCTAAATGTTTATATTGATCATAAAGAAATAGCCCTTTAGAGACCATTTAATTTTTTATTTGAAAGCTTTGACCATCACAGTGCCAAGGGAGTTGACTTAAAACTGTGGTAGGTTAAATTGGCATTCATTTGGGAATTTTTCAGAACTCCTAAATTTCATGGGTCAACATCCAGCCTCATCCTCTGTTTTGAAAAAGTTGGGAAGAACAGCAACATATAACTCTCGGTAAGATAAGAAATGCAATGATCCTCCACCTCATAATGGCTCTTCTTTATCTATAGACTTTCTCTTTAAAAAATTATCCATAAAAATCTTAGCTCTTTAAAGTTCAGTGTCTTTGACAGTTTTTTCCCATCTGTGCCCTATTCCTTCTCTAAAGGAATTAGACTAGCCTATACATTCTCCTTCCTCCATCCAACATACCAGGCATATTTCTACCTCAGTGTCTTTGCACATAATGTTTGCCCAGCCTGAAATATCTATCCTCTTCCCTATCTCTAGTTTGCAAGGCCCAGTTTAATGTTTACTTCCTCAAATCAAAATAATGGTAAGTTCTATATCAGCACTAATAACTACTTCTTAAATGATCTATCTCTTCACTGGCAGAAGAAATCTACACTATGAATCTATAGTAAGCTCTAGGTGACTGAGCATTTTGCAAATAAAAGTTCAAGGGTATCACACAAAAATGTAGTTTGGGGGAATCTTTTGAAATAACAAAGATCCATCAACACTAGGCCCACTTTTCTACAAACAACAGGCTGGAGCTGAGAAATGAGTATCCCTTTAAATGGTATTTGTAATTGCCACTTTGGTCCCACCACTCCTCACTCTGTCCCCATTTTGCCTCAGCCTGCCTTGTTTCTTTTTTTGACTCTTATGCCCCATGGGCAATTGAATTTAAGCTGGTGGCTATTGAGATACCCAAGGAAAATGAAAGACTAGTTTCCCAAGGAAAAAGGAGATGATCAAGATCCTTGATGGTCTGTGTTTTAACAGCTAAGAGAGATAACGTCGTATTTATTTCCTATCTTGTAATTGATAATAATCAGTGAGAATAACTCATAAAGTCAGGATATTTAATCATGGGTTAGGATACCAGGAAATTAAATACCTTTAAGAAAATAATTTTGGAAAAAAAAATAATTTTGGGGGCAGCCTGGGTGGTTCAGTGTTTTAAGCGCCTACCTTCCCCCCAGGGCATGATTCCAGAGTCCCTACCTTCCCCCCAGGGCGTGATTCCGAGTCCTGGGATCCCACATTAGGCTCCCTGCATGGAGCCTGCTCCTCCCTCTGCCTGTGTCTCTGCCTCTCTCTCAGTCTCCCTCTCTCTATCTTGAATAAATAAATAAAATCTTAAAAAAAAAAAAAAAAGAAACATGTAGGGTCCACTTAACCATGGATTCTTTTTAAAAAGAAAATAATAATTTTTATTATCTTGGCTCAGAGGAGGGAGTAATCACTAAGAAGGGGGCTGTCTGAGCCCTGACATCACTTTTTAGGATCCATTTCCTCCACAGGGTAAATTTTGAAATAATAGAATGGGAGCAAAGATTTCAAAACAGCTAATATATTCCTGCTCCTAAGCAGGAATTCGTTGTATTCTCAAATGTAGTTATTCCTGTGTCTTTTTATCTGAGTCTTCCTATAAACATTTTAATTGGGCAGTAGTAGTTGGTAATTGTCCAACGTTTTAAATATCTTCGAGGTTTTTTTTGGGTTTTTTTTTTTAAGATTTTATTTTCTTATTCATGAGAGACACAGAGAGAGGCAGAGACAACAGGCAGAGGGAGAAGCAGGCTCCATACAGGGAGCCCGGAGTTCTTTTTTTATAGTATTCCATTTAAACTTCTAAAAACCCTACAAGAGAAATAGAATAGGCGAAGAAAGCCAAACTCTAGGAGTTTGAGTTACCCAAGTTCATGTGAATATTAAGTGGTAGAATTGGAAGTAGATCCCACATCTTCAGAGTTCTTACTGAGTTTGTAATTTTATACTATTTTGGTCTTCATTATCTTCCTATGAATGATCTCATCCTGCTTTTGTATGTGCTATCAAATGACAGAGGCAATGACGCTAAGCCCAAAGCAAGGAGACAATAATGTAAGAATTGAATTTTGGAACTAGGTCAACCTCTATCTGTAGTTTATTCAGTCTTCTTTAACTCTCTGAATAAATTACCTGCAGGGTGACTAAAGTTTCTTCATTATGCCAGAAGTTTTGTTCTACATCTTTACTGCAGATTAAAAATACTGATATTTATGATGTACTGAAATTGCCTCTTAAAGATTTTATTTACTTATTTATTTGAGAGGGAGCAGAAGCAAAGAGGGAGAGGGAGGGAGAAGCAGGCTCCCTGCTGAGCAACCCCCAATCCCCACAACCTGGGACTAGAACCCAGGACCCTGGAATCATGACCTAAGCTGGAGGCAGATGCTTAACCGATTGAGCCACCCAGGCACCCCTAAAATTGTACTTTTAAATTGTTTTAATTTATTGTCTTTTTTCCATTTGGAATGTGAGCTTGTTACGTGTAAAAACTCTTAGATTGTTTACCACGGAACCCTCAGTATTTAGAATTATATATCTGGCCAGTGTAACACAATTAAATTAAGTGTTTGATACGTAATTTGCTGACTTAGGTTTTATGATCCTCCATTGAGGACCTTCTGTCCCAAATCAAATCTTGGTTGCTTTCTGACATCCACTTTCTCCCTTAGATCCAGTAGGGGTGGTCAGCCCTGTGAGGGAATATGAACATTGACCTAGAGTTGCTTAGAGGTGAAACAATTTCATTTATGTGGTAAAAGTTTCTGAGTCAGGTGGCAAATAGGTTTAATTTCTGTATATCTTTTTCCCTCAATACTGCTTGTACTTTATTTAGTCCTTTGTAGTCTTCAATATTTTCAAGTCCCTTTAGTTCAGAGGTGTCATGTATCAAGGTCATTCTATGTCATGAAGTGGGAGAAGTTGGGTAGTATTGCTTTTCAGATTGTAGTCAGAGTTTAAGATTCTAGACTTCAGTAAGTTTTCTGCATGGTAAGAGTTCTGTGATAATGTAGTTGAGGGAAATACACAGATACATTTGAACCAGTGCATCTGCAAATCTGCTATATCCAAGAACAGAAAGCACACAAAAGTCCAGATTCTAAAAGGTTAAGAAGGACTTACTGTTTAGTTCTAAGACTTTGCCAGTTTCTTCATGGTTGAACCTGACCTTTTCTGATTCCTAATATTTGAATCCATTGGGTGGTCTTGTTGAATAAAGACCTCTATTAAGAAGGGAAAAGAGGGCAAATAGCATGCCTGATCCTTGCAGGGAGAAAAAGACTTTTGAAAGAGCACAAAGCTCTCAGGATGTTAAGTAACACTGTAAAAACATGCAGGAGTTGATTTACTGTTTGGGGCTTGTCATAGCCTGAAGCGGTTGGTGCTGTTCCCCAATATAAGAACTTTTTTGTTTCTCTAGGACAATGTCAGGCCCCAGGAGTCTTTCACATGACTGTTTGTCACTATTAAGAGCCAAGTGCCTGTTTTGAAGAAAACAGAGCTGGTAGTTCAAGTGTTCCACAGAACTCCTTATTTATTAAGTGTCAGGGGACAGGATGTGTATAACAGGACAGAGAAACTAATATTTATTGAGAGTCTGTTTCACACTTAAACAGGTGGTGGGTGCTTGCATATGTGCTATCTTATTCAGTCTTTGTTTAACAGTCCTATGAGATAGGTATTATTTTTCCATTTTCTAGATTTGGAAACCAAGAATTCAAAAAACTTGAATGACTTTCCTAAGGTCACATGGCTTCTAATTGAGCTAGATCTAAAGCCAAATTGTCTAACTCTCAAACTAATGATTCCCCCCTCCCCAATACTTTTTTGGGTTCCATGGGTATTAATTAATATAGAGGGCTTAACTTCCTGATTTTCCTATACAGGGAGAGGGAAACAGTACAAAATGGCAGAATTTACATGTATTTACATACTCCTTTCTAACCCTAACATTCAAAATGTTTTAAATATAGTGAATTTTTTTTTAAGATTTTATTTATTTAGCAGGCTCCATGCGGGGAACCGATGTGGGACTCGATCCTGGACTCCAGGATCACGCCCTGAGCAGAAGGCAGGCGCTCAACCACTGAGCCGCCCACGTGTCCCTAAATATAGTGAACTTTTTTTTTTTTTTAATTTTTTTTTTATTTATTTACGATAGTCATACAGAGAGGGGGGGGGGGGGCAGAGACACAGGCAGAGGGAGAAGCAGTCTCCATGCACCGGGAGCCCGACGTGGGATTCGATCCCGGGTCTCCAGGATCGCGCCCCGGGCCAAAGGCAGGCGCCAAACCGCTGCGCCACCCAGGGATCCCTATAGTGAACTTTTAAACATAATACTGAGATCTCACAAGTGATATAGTGGATGAGGTGAGAAGTGTTTTTCTCCCCAAATTAAAGATGATTGCTGCAAAAGTATATGTGATTTCTTTGAAATTTCCAGTAGAGTCATTGTGTCCTAAGGAACAGAGGCAAGTAGTGACTTTCAGGTATATAACATCTTCACTGTCCTATATTTAGATTTAAGCTCTAGTTGAGAATTCCCATTATTTTTAAGCAGTTTTATATCTTGGAGGCTGACTCAGACTTAGGGTCTCTGTTCAATAATAATGACAGAATTATTAGAAATTTTGTCTTAATGTTTATAGAATTTTTGCCTTTCATTAATGAAGGTAAAGGCTTTGCATTAGAATTTTTTTTTCTCTTTTTCAGAGTATAGTTGTAAACTCTCACTCAGCGCAGTGATGAAAGCATAATTTTCTATTTGCTTTGCTGGAGGCCCCTTCTCACAGTTTGAAATGTAGGACATGGGTATTTTCTTGTTTGTTTCATTTTATTTTCTTTACCCTTAGGGGTCATTTGACTTTCATTTGAAGTTCTAATAGACGGAAGGGGGAAAAACAGAAAAATGATGGAACATTGGAGTTATTAATAACAGAAAAACCCAAATTAAATTAGATTCCAAATCTCAAAGGTGAGTTTGTACTTCCGTACTTAGAAGAATTGGTGCAGTTGTTATAATCCTTTTTTGTTTTGTTTTAACCTCTATCATAGAGGAGTGATTTAGCATAAACAGAATAATTTTATTGGTGTTTTCTAAGAGAAGGTGGGGAGATGTTAATCAACATACTAAAACAGTAGATTGGAAATGCTGTGCATACCAGCTCCCTTGCCCTCTTGCATGGGTAAGGGATTTATGTAAATAAGTATGAATGGCATCTTAACTGTGGACTTCCTGATTTTTTCAATGTTATTGTAGAATATTAAAATAAACTCTCAATTTGACTTTAAGAAAATCACTTGATTTGGCTATTCTCTTCTTTCTTGAGATTGACAGTGAGGGATTAACAGGAAGGAGAGAGTTTGCACCTGAGCTCCTGCCTCAGCTTTTAGTTGTAGTACTCATTAGCAGTCCCCTAAACAAGTTCATGTTCTTGGCAGCTCTAGCCTGGAGTCTTTGTGTTCAGTGCCTTTGTCCTACTCTTCCACTCCATTTCACTGGCCCGTGTCATGGCGGGAGCTCAGTGGGAAGGAACATGCTCTCTGTAGTACTTCTGGTATTCTTCCAGTAACCAGTGTTTGTGTACTCCCTGGGCTAGTACAGGCAGCAGCACAGTATCTGGAGGCAGCCATTAGGAGCATCCAGACAGGGAGATGCTGCTGCCAATTTCAGGCTGGCACTGCAGTAGCTTGGCCAGACTAGATTGCTAAAGGCAGCATGTACGTCAGAGTAAAGTACTTTTTCTCTTTGGGAAAGTAAATAGATATGCTGCTTAATCAACCAACTTTGTTTCAGGTTGCTGGGTATAAGATAATGTGGTAAAATCAGGAGTGGAGTAAGATAGTTTTACACCCACCCCAAAACTGTTTAATTGCTTTAGATGCATTATCTCGTTAAATCTGCTCAACAGTCTTACCAGTTAAATCTGTTAAAATCACTATTTTACACAGTAGAAAGCTTAAACCTAGCCAGCCACACAGCTAGAAAGTGGTATTTTGATTTACATTTGAATTTAAGTTTGTATGATTTCAAAGCCCATATCCACTAATATTGGAGGTAGATACTTAGTAAATAGGTAGCATTTCCTCACCCATAGAATCTCATCATGAGGAAACATCAGACAAACCCAGACTAACATTCTATAAAATAACTAGCTTTTACTCTTCAAAAATGTCATGATCAAGAAACATGAAAAACTATTCCAGATTAAAGGAGACTAAAGATACGTGACCTCTAAATGCAATGTGTGATTGTGAATTTGATTTGGGAGCAGAAAAAGAACTTTATAAAGGGCACTATTGGGGTATTTGCTAAAACTTGAATATAGACTGGGTTAGATAGTAGCATTTACCATGGTTATGTAAGAAAATGCCCTTGTCTCTTTTTTTTTAGATTTATTTTATTTATTTTAGAGAGAAAGCCAGCATGAGCTGGGGGAGGGGCAGACAGGGAGGGAGAGAGAGAGAATATCAAGCTGACTCCACACTGAGTGTGGAGTCCCATGCGGGGCTTGATCTCATGACCCTGAGCTGCCCAGGTGCCCCCAAAATGCCCTTGTCTTTAGGAAATATGCACTAAAGTTTTAGGAATAAAAGGACATGACATCTCCTACTTACTCTCAAGTAGTTGTGAGAGAGACAAAGAGAATGACAAAGTGAATGTGGCAAAATGTAAGCAGTTGAACAAATGGTGAATCTGGTATAAGAAAGTCATATTTCTGTCAAATTTTTTGTGTACTTGGAATGCCTTATAATACAGGAAACAAAGGCAAAAGAAAAAATTAAATTTCCTTACTGCCGATAGCCCATTGACAAGTCCTTGAACCAGGTAGAGGACCTTCCTCTAGGAACTCAGCTGCCTTGTTGTTGACACTTTGCTTGCTAAGGGCAAAAGGCAATCTTAACATTATCCCAACCTTCAGGATCCTATAAGTCTTCTTTAACATATGAAAATTCCTTAGGAAACTTGCTTTATCTCTACCTCCCAAGATACATGTTAGCAATCATCCTCCAAGCATATGGCCCACTGATATACTTTTGAGGGGTCTCATGATTGAGGGTTTCCAGACAGTAATAAATTACCAATTTCCTAACAATAGCTAGCCCCCTCAAGGTCCTGGAAACCTTGCCTCCAAAATTCCCTAAGGACTTATGCTATCTCTAACCCCCTCCCAACTTGAAAGTATATAGTCAGTCACCCATCACAACCCCAGTGCAGCTCTTTCTGCCCATAGGTCCTGTCCCTGTGCTTTTTTGCCCTGAAGATGTCTCAAGAATTCTTTGGTCCAAACCACATTTCTACATCATCTTACATTTTACAAATGTGGCTAAAAGGCTTCAGAAACCTGGAATCCCAATGAAGGCATCACAGCCAGCAATTAGGTACCATATTCTTCTGTTAATGCTTCTTCTGTTGGCAAAGAACTTACCAAATCTAGGTGAGGAAATAAACACGGACTGTTATTTCACAGAGGAAATATATGTCATACTGTCAAATGTTTTTCTTATACTTCCATTGGGGACATACCTCACTTTTCTTCAGAATAGTTACATGCTTTTAACTAGTATTTTTGTCCCATTTCTTTTGACCCCTTTTTGATCATTCATATTTCTGGTTTGCCTAGACATAATCTTGGATTGAGTGGCAAATGTATTCTTTTTAATGAAAGGATAGACTGCAAAGTAGAGTAAGTTTTATTTACTTTTAATAGTCATTTATGGGTGTTTTCTTTTTAAGAGTTTTTTTTTTTTTTTTCCAAGAGAGGCAGAGATATTAGGCAGAGAGAGGGCTTGATCCCCAGACCCTGGGATCACGACCTGAGCCAAAGGCAGACAACCACTGGGCTACCCAGGTGTCCCTATGTTTGTTTATGTTTATTTATAATAGCATATATGCTGTCTACACCATCTTTCTGTTTTAGGTGATTATCATGAAGCCTTGGTTATGTATGAATGAACTATGCTATTTTGGGCATCTCTTTCCCTTCACTCCACCCAGTCTTGTATATTCTTGGCTTGGCCAGAGAATAGCTATAAGTAAAATACGAAGGATGTTAAAAGTTTGAATTCATAATTTAATATATTTATCTTTTTTCAATACTTTTTCACTCTTTCTTTTTTAAAATATAAGATAAAATTGACATAACATTATATTTCAGGTGTACAGCATAAAATGATCATATTTATCTTTTTGCATTCTGTAAGTACTTATATATGTTGATGTGATTTTTTTCAAGATGAATAATGTGGTGTTCTTGGGTTAGCAAGGCAGAACTGAGAATTCCTTCTGATTATAGATGGAAAGAACCATAGGTTTAAGCAGGTATTTTGGTTCCACTAACTGTGATTTGGGAGAAGTCTTAAGAAGTGTTCCACACAGGGAGGGGCATCTGGGTGGCTCTGTTGGTTAAGCAACAGACTCTTGATCCCAGCTCAGTTTTGATCTCAAGGTCATGAGTTCAAGCCCCAGAATGGGCTCAATGCTGGACATGGAGCCTACTTAAAAAAAGGGGTGTGGGGCGGGGCAGCCCAGGTGGCTCAGCAGTTTAGCGCCAGGATCAGCCAGGGCCTGATCCTGGATACCGGGATCAAATCCCATGTCAGGCTCCCTGCATGGAGCCTGCTTCTCTCTCTGCCTGTGTCTCTGCCTCTGTGTGTGTGTGTCTCTCATGAATAAATAAATAAAATCTTTAAAAATAAAAAAGGTTCCACGTGTTAGTCAATTGACTAAGGTAAACATTGCATCTACCTTTCCTGGTGATGGAGGCAAGTAGCTATATATAAAACTCAACACCCTTTAGTGCTACCCCGCCCCCAACCAGCTGCCTTCTCCTCACTGAAAGAGAGAGGGAATAAAAAGCCATCTTGCCTCAGTATAAGAACTCAGTCTCTTTAAAAACTTTTTAAAAAATGATTCTCTGCTCGAATTTCCTGCACATATTAATTCAACAACAGTGCCATCCCATTACACTTAAAAAATGCTAGAAGTTGGGCAGTCCGGGTGGCTCAGTGGTTTAGCGCCGCCTTCAGCCCAGGATGTCATCCTGGAGACCCAGGATCGAGTCCCACGTCGGGCTCCCTGCATGGAGCCTGCTTCTCCCTCTGCCTGTGTCTCTGCCTCTGTGTGTGTGTGTTTCTCTCATGAATAAATAAATAAAATCTTAAAAAAAAATGCTAGAAGTCTTCCATGGCAGCTAGGATGTACTCATTGTCTATCCAGATTTTTTTACAGACTACTTTAGATTGACTTTGGATTATCATACTTTTAACACTCAGGTTTCCTTTGAGTCTTTGTTAAAGTTAACTGAATCGTAGAATAACTTTTCAGTAGTCACATGAGTGACTATTAATGATGGTGATTATCTTATATATGAATGTGAGTCAGGATTGCAAAATGTTAAGTGCTCAGACTCTGAAGGCAGACAAATCTGGGTTTAAAACAGGCTCTGCCACTTACTGCTTGTGTGGCCTTTTTTTTTTTTTTTTTTTTTTTTTTAGATTTTATTTATTTATTCATGAGAGACAGAGAGAGGCAGAGACACAGGCAGAGGGAGAAGCAGGCTCCCCGTGAGGAGCCCGATGTGGGACTCGATCCTGGGACCCCGGGTTCATGACCTGAGCCAGAGGCAGAGGCTCAGGCACTGAGCCACCCAGGCACCCCTGCTTGTGTGGCCTTAATAAACAAGTTGCTTTTCTTTCCTTGTTTTTCTCATCTGTAAAATGGGATAAAATTATCCTCACCAACATGAAATAAGGCATGAAAAGCACTTAGCATGTAATATGTGACATTTTGTATGTGTTCAATAAATATTAGCCATTGATAGTTATTGCTATTAATATTACTATCATTAGTGTTCCTTCTGTATCCCCCTGAATTGGCTAATGTTTTCTTTCTTTCTTTTTTTTTTTTTTTAGTTTTTTTTTTTTTTTTTAATTCATAGAGACACACAGAGAGAGAGAGAGGCAGAGAGAGAC